AAGGGGTCAATTACCTTGGAAGGCAGATTGTTCGTGGTTCTTGATTCTGTTTGTTCTGCAATTTCAGATTCTCCAACTTCTTCCACGACGTACCTTGGTTTTTCAGCGGATGGAGCAGCCGAAAAATTCGAGGCCTGTAATACAAAGTCCAATAAGAGGAAAACCAAATTAGAGTTCCACCAGAACAAAATCGGGACGGATCATACACCGTAGTACAGGAAACAAAACAAAAATTCGTATGTAATCAAAATTCTACGAAAGAAAAAAAAAAAAAAAATCCACAGGAAGAAGTGAAAATCGGGAACAAGAAACCAACGGCATTTGAGACAAAAGATCGAAAACAAAGATTTCAGCCATGAAATCTAGCAATTGAAGCAATGTGCAGGTAAGAAACAAGGGAAGAAGCTTACAGAGCGAGCTTTCCGAGGAGAGAAAGAACGGCATGCGTATGCAATCTTTCTAGCAGCTTTCTTAAGAATCGAGGTTCCCCGTCCGCCGCCTCCGCCTGCCATTCTGCAAAACCTCTCACCAATGCACTACCATCACAGCCGCAAGAAGAGTAGAAAGCATCAAATGAAGAAGCAGAAGAAGAATGGCGAATTCTGCAAAATCCGGCAGAGAGGAGAGGAAAGGAATGGAAATGCGCCTGCCTATGGGTGCAAAGTGGAGAGAGTCCCCACAGCTTTAAATTATTCAATGCCGTCCTTTCGCTTTAATTATTTACCCTTTTTTTCCCCTTCTTTTGTCAGTTTCCTTTCCATTTAAATTTATTATCTATAATTTAATTCTTTCAAAAATTTTAAATTTTAGAAATTTATTTTTTTTTTATTTTTTTATAATTTAATAATTTATATTTCTATTAAACACAAAATTCTATATTTAATAATAATAATTAATTTTTTAAGATTGAAAGTTTAAGATTTTATGTAATTTATGTTTAATAAATTATTTAAGCATTAACAAAATTAAATTTCTAATCCATTAGATTTCAATAGTATTTTACTTTTAATTTTTTTAAAAGGTTGAATTTTATGTTTTAATATTAAAAAAATTGATAGTTTAGAAATGTATTAAACAACTCATACAACAGTGATTCGTTCTCGAGCCTTAAAGGTGGTCCCTATCAATCCCAAGAGGAAGAAGCCCTTAATTATCCCACTCAGGTAGTCAAGATGCAGTCTGTTCGCTAGGAGTGATGGACAACGTATTCGTACCAATAACTTCAGTATCACGTGATTCTAAGACATTATTATCATTTTGAGACGAGATAAAGATATTTTCACTGATAAATAAAAATATTTTTTATCATTGAGGATTCATTCAGTTAATCTCACAAAACACAAAAAAGATCTTAAAAGAATACAAATTTAAATCGAACGCGTGTACGAAAATTAAATAAACTAGGATCGACGTAAGAACGGGTTAGATTTGAAAATTGAAAGTATGAAAGTATGAAAGGAGGAGGAAATGAAAAGGTTGATAATGATGGGTTTGGCATTGATCCAGGCAGCCCACCCCCGCAGCGCTTGAGTGCAATGCATGATGGCAAAGGCAAAGGCAATGGCAAAGGCAAAGACAAGGCCAATTTGGGAGTCAACAAAGCAACCGCCCGGCGCGCCCCAACATCTCAAATGCTTTTGATTTTCTTCTTCTGCCCGTTGTCTTCCTTTTGGCACTTTTCATATAAGGAGTTCATCCCCCTTTCATTCACTCCGACCAACCAAACACATGCCTTCTTTTCCCACTTCTCCTACTTGCATTGCATTTTACGTGTCCATTTCATTGTCGTTTTGAAACGAAAGAGTACGGATAAGATTCGATTTGATGTTGGAAATGTACAAACGGTCTGCATTCGTTATAGACCCTGATGTTTTTTGATATCTATTAGTGGAAGATAGCATCTCTATCTCTATTAGTTTTATTCACGAGAACCCATGTAAAATCAATCGTATCTATATCAATAAGAAATGACAAAAATCTTAGGTAAATAAGTGCATATGTCTGGCTTCCCCTGTCCAAGTCTCCCGTTAGCAAATGTTGTCCTTTTTTAACTTTTCATTTCAAGCTTTCCCTCAAGGTTTTTAATTACAAATAACAAAGATCTCCTTCTCTTACTAACACTCGTCTTTCGGGTTTTAAGGATAATGGTATTAGTTCAAAATATAAACTTTAAGAACCCAATTGTAGAACTGGGCATGTATATCAATAAGAAATGACGAAGATCTTAGGTGAATAAGTGCAAATGTCTGGCTCAGACTAAAAATGAATAACAGTGAACATTTCAAGCCTCCCACTAGCAAATATTATCATTTTTTAACTTTCCCTTTCAGGTTTTCCCTTAAGGTTTTTAATTACGAATAACAAAGATCTCCTCTCACTAACACTCGTCTTTTCGAGTCTTTCAGGTTTTAAGGATAATGGTATAAGTTCAAAATCTAAACTTTAAAGAGCCCAATTGCGTAACAGTAAAGAGAGGGACCTGACCCTAAGCTAAGGTAATAGAGAGGGAATCTGCTCTTTCTACCTTAAGGAAAAGCTTTGGCCTTTGGCTTTGGCTTTGGCTTTGGCTTTGGCTTTGGCTGGTGCACATGAAAAGAAGGGAAGGGGGAAGAAGAAGCAGGGCCCAGCAGACAAAGGTGACTGCTGTCTGAAATGCCCTGCCTGCTGCTGCCCCAAGACCAAATTAAATCCATGCTTGCTTACCAAAAAAGTGACTCATTTGACCATTTTCAAAAGCAACCCTCCTAGTTTTGGCTCCAAACATCGAGGTTGTTTGGCTTAGGACAGCCTAAGGCTAAGATAAGATGAGCCAATGAATGAACGAACGAACCACCTCATTTGCTGTGTCTTTTTTTCAGTGCCCTTTTGCTTCTTGTGGGCTGACTTGACTGTCTTTGTTTGGTAACAAAATGAGCCTAACACTGGCACATCACCCATCTTTGTACTGTGAAGTTAGTTCAGTCAGAAGAAAAATGGTAATTATATAAAAACTCAAAACTATTAGAAGGTTCGAGTCTTCTAAGTTCATGTATTGTTGAACTCAACATCTTTTCTAATCAAAAAGTTGCCCGAGACTTAATCAACACTAAAAAATCCAACTTTAAAGATGCCCAACCCAACTACATGAACACTCAATCCAAGCTACAAAGCTAAGTATTCATATATATGTCCAAATCCAACGTTAAAATATATAAATTTTATTGAAACACAGACACCCAACACGTGTAAAAAATGAGTTGATTAAAGTTAAATTACGAAAAATATCCTTGAACTTTTCCCTTTACTTTGAAAATACTTCAGATAATGTAATATTACTATTAACCTATCATAAACATTTCAAGACGAGAAATTCGTTAAACATATCAAACGTAAATTGGACATTGGAAAGTGTGACAATAACCTAAAATGATGTGGTGTCTAGGTCCCACTTTTTGTTTCAAATCATTGGCACATTATTCTAGATCTCAATTTACAGACCACGTCCCAAATAATTCCTACTTCAATAATAATGTTTTTGAAATATGAAGAATTTTTTAGTCAATATGATCTTAAATGAATATGCAAGAAGGAAGAGAGACGGTGAATGGGTATCTAACCCCCAATTGAAGCAATGCATATAGCAAAAATGGGATATGATTGGGTTGATCTGATCTGATCTGATATCACCAGGTACAATCATTGATGGTATGGAGGCCAAAGTTGCTTATTAGATCATTTGATCCACACGGTTCCACCCAAAAAGGTTCAAATCTTAATGCACTTTCCACATGCCTAACTTCTACTTCAAATAAATCTACAAAGAATCAACCAAATCTTCTGAGCCCGGTTGATTCATCAATCTATTTGGCTAATAGATTTCTAGGTTTGTTCTTATGCAATTTTAAAAGCTTCCTCGGCTCTTTCAATCATTGTTGATTTCATTAGTTTTACCCTCGGCTCTTTCAATCATTGTTGATTTCATTAGTTTTAAATAGATTCGTTAGGTTTTTAGTCTTTTTCAATCAATTTGAGCATTTGATCCGATTTTGTAACAAAAACGGTTCTTTAGTCAAATTCTTCACGTATTGCAAATGCATGTTGATCATTATATCTTTTCCTCTTGGTTATCAAGAACGAAAAAGAAAACCAATGATATCTATACGTAATTAAATCCAACCAGATTCAAATTAAATTAACCATATAGGTTCACAAAGAAGATATTAACATTAACGAGGATTTAGCTTAAATTCAACCTAACCCATCAGGTTATAAGAGGCATGGAAAGAGAGGCGTTACGTATGCAGGCCGACATCTACTGGGCCCTGAAGTTAGTGGCAAGCAAACGACTATGAATCAATAGTTTAAACCCAAAATCCAGATGCCAAACAGAAATAAAGCCATTCGAGTCCTAAACAAGAATTGTGGCCACACACTTTGAAATTTGAATGACAGATGAGCGCCATTTTCAACAGGACCCACGAAGAAGAACACCATTCATTCTATCAATCAACCAAATTGGAGTAAAGAAGAAAAAAGACATCAAACAAGCACGCGTGATTGGAGGAATAAAGTGGCAGCTGCACACATAAATGGCATATAGCCAGAACCCACCTTGCTTTTCCCTCAAAATTCACCAACCCTCAACTCCCCCCACCGCTCTTCTCATTATGCAGCGAACTCCAAATCACAAGTTACAACCCAACCCAACCCAACTTAGCCAGAGGCCTTTCTGCTTGAGTGTGATATGAAGCATTCTACGATTAAATGCTGATTATATAAAGCAAAGAATGAACTCAACAGACAAGCTACTAGAAAGACGTCAAATCTAAGAAAGAAATGATCTTCAATGAACCTGAAAGAAATTTTATTTTTGTCTTGCTATCGTTTCGTTCGTACCCTCCAAACGAAGTCATTTGACCTGTTTCGGTAATAATATATTCATGATAACAGATGGAAGTTTCAGATAATACAAATAAATGTGTGTGTGAGAGAGAGAGAGAGAGAGAGAGAGAGATGCCATCTTTTTCAAAATCTCAAATTGCAACCGGCAATATTTGAGGAAAAGGAGTTGGTCAAGTACATTTTGTAAACCAACAGAATATAGAGACCCACATATGATATACATCTAAAGTGGGGGGAATTAAGAATAGATAGCATCGGTTAAGTTCTATTTTACATAACCAATAAACAAATCAAGAAGGGAAAAATAAATTAGAGAACCAAAAAAATAAGCAGAGATCCAGACCTGGAAAATTAACTATTGTGGATGTTAAACTCATCGAGGAATCTTTGAATCCACAAGGACTGTTCATGGATTGATGTTGCATTCTCTTAGATATAGATTGTCAAAATCAACATGCTTTGCCCAATAATTTCGGTACTTGGGTATGGCTATCTCGAGCCAAGGCTTCATGTTCCCATTGTAGTGTATAACGGCCGCTCGTTCAATATCCTTCTGCCCTACATTAGGATTGTAACCAAGGCCTAGAACATGCCAGGATTTGTCAAGATTATAAGTGCGCTTCCAAAATGTGATGAGACCCGGTGGTAATGTCCCCAGCTTCCACAATTGCATGTCGTTATTCTGGGGGAAAAAAAATACAATGTTTTGAGCAGGAATACTACTTCCAAAGAGCTAGGATCTATAAGTCACAATAAGACAATGCTACCCAGCACTCTATAGATATGCATCACTATCCATCTTCAAGAAAAAATGTATTGATGTCACACAAATTTATCATATCCACCAACACTCCAGTTTACGTTTACTACGTATAATTGGCACACAAAGATTTAACTAGAACGAACACGTTTCCGTTTCAATACTTCTTCCAGACGTATTTCTAATGTTGAAAATGTTAGTTCACTACCAATGATTTGAATGTTCCCAAGTCATATGACAAGTGGAATAGATATCCATTCATAAGAACTTACCAGCGTCTGCCAGGAGTGGTACACCTCTGTAATATTCTGCCTCTTCCATTCATCCAAATCAAAGACATTCATGCCATATGCCCAACCACAGGCATGAGGATCAAAATTTTTTGAGATGAGAGGGTTTGAGAAATTGAGATATCTATCAAACCGATGAAAGCTTTCTCCACAAGTCTCTACAGCACCATTAACATTTCCTTTCAAATCAACGAACCAAAGTTTTGTGAGATCTTTCTGCACTACTATATCATCATCCAGGAACAAAACTTTTTTGAGCTTCGGGAATAACTGTGGGAGGTAAAATCGTAGATGGTTCAAGATGGACAAGTACTTTGGATTCCGGAACTTTATATTTGCATCAGAGCTAGCCTGATGAGCCCGGAAATAATAGTCTATCATATACGAAGAACTCAACTGCTTAAGAACTGGACTATAACTGGTGTTTAACCATGTAAATTCTTCCGTATTCTGAACCTGGATGGTAGCTTTTCCAGGTGGATTAGCTTGAAACCACATCCTCATTGCTGCATAATTGAGTTTATCTGTAATAATGTGGAAAACGTGTTTTGAAGGCTCCTGAAATTATCAAATACGTGAAATAAGTCATGATTTCAAACAAAGGGAAAGGTCCATAGTTGTATCAACTTTAACAATGACAAGAAATCAGACTCTTTCTGCCAATCCCAACCAACCGTGAAAAAAGAAATCAATGTATAAAATATGAAAAGACATCATAATTCCACGAGAAATATATACCTCTGCATGAGTGATTGTTGAGTTAACAACTACTGCTGCTGCCAATATATTGTCTGAGAATAACGCATAATGATACAGGTCCGGATCTTCTAGTTTCTCTTGACCTGGGAAATGCTGTTGGGACAAATTCAGAGAAAAGTATTCGGTTGTCAGGCGCAAGGGAAGGCAATGAAGGCCTTTAGGAAGTGTTTTTGCTGTTAATTGCGTCAAAAACAGGGTTTGCTTCTTGTGCACTCGTAACTGCTCTTCAGTTGAGTGAAGCATCGCTCGCAGTTTCTTTACCACAATAGAACAGTCATCCTGAGTTTGTTTCCCTTTTGCCAGTGTTTGCTCCATTGTCTTCAATCTCTCGTTGGCACTGCAACATTAATAGCATCCAATAGTGAACACAAAGACCCTCTCAAGAATGTCCCATTCCATTAGATTTAAATAGATATAGAAGAAACAATAACTCATTCTCAGATGGAACATTAACATGGACACGGATGGCATCAGAAAGAAAATTTACTTTTTAGGTAGCTCAGAATCCTTGCTTGCATCACCTAATGTTCGTTGAACTTCCTTTATCCTCAGTCGAAGTTCTCTTGTAAGGTGGGGATTGTTCCTAGTGCCTGGAAGAGAGAGGTAAACTTTGGCCCTTATGAGCTGATCCTTGAGATGTCTCACCCGCGCATTAGGAAAAGCAGCTTGAACATTCTCTGGTTCAAATCTTGATCTTCCTATTTCTCCCCCATCAGCTTTCTCAGAAGTTTGGGTGGCTGGCTGCTCATGTTTGGGATTCTGGCAGTTGGCAAGGAAACATAGACACAAGGAGAAGAGAAAATAGAGTTAAAATAAGTAATTATGGGAATAAGGAAGTTCATGCACAATATATAGTGGTTGCATAATCTTCTGGAAAATTCATTGTATACCAGAATAAAGAAACATTCTGAATAAATCTAAAAGTTGATTAATTATTCCTCGCAGCAAGATGATTTGACTCTTATGTGCTCCCTTTATGGCTTTACTTCGGCAGGGCTTTAGAAATAGAGCCATTTGGTTAAGAAGCAATAGAGAAACTACATAAATGACTCCTTTGGCATAGTATTGGAGCCAGAAAATTACGTTGCAAATTTGCTATCTAGCCACAGCGATAGGCTTCTCGAGAGAATGGAAATAAAAGCTCTTGATAAAAACAATAACTCTTGCTGGATAATAAGTTAATCAGAACTATCCATGCGAAACTCATGAAAGAACTATCAAAGGTTTATAAGAATCACCCTGCACATGCAAATAAATCTATAACAACAGAACAACTAAAGAGTATAAGAGAAATGGCAAAAAGCCAGATTCATACAGGATCGACTTTGCTGTTCTGTTCACTGGTACTATCGGGATCCCCTGGAATGGTATTTGCCATCCCAAATGGATCCGTAACCTGCTTGATTGGATTCTCGTTTTGAGAATGATCTTCCTCATTAGTCGTGGTCAATACTCTATTAGATTTACGCTCTACTACTCCTACAGATTGTGCACCAGAAGAAACAATTAACAAATGACAAGGTAAAGAAATATACAAAACCAGAAAGCAGTGTTATAAACAGAAATATTTATATATAGCACATCCTTGGCCAAACCTTGGGTGCCGTCGTTGCTCTGCCAAACCGAAGCAGCGGAATCAGGAAGCGAATTGTTGTCGGAGTAAACAATCGCGACGGGCTCTTCGACGCTTGATGAAGATTTCTTTTACCCAAAACGATGAATCAAAGAAGAATCGTCAGGAAAATTGGTATACAAAAAATGCAAAAATCAGAACAAAAGCGAATAAAAAACAGATTTAAAAAATTGTAGCTAGCAACCCCATCGGCAGGATTTAGATGCCTGACATCGCTATTGAAACCCTGGTTTACGAAGAAACAGGGAAATTAGAAGAATAAGTGGGAGAAAACAGCCAAACGCTTTTTTTCTTTTTTTTCTTTTTTTTTTTTTCTTTTTTTTCAATATCGCAATGGCAAATAACAAGATGAAGCATGCAGAACGAGTCTAGACGGATTTACTCACCGAAGTTGAAAAATCTTCAATAAAATCGCCTTTAGCTGCAGAAATGAAAGCTCTATTTCAAAATCTATATATAGCAGCGAAACAAAAAAGCAAATGAACCGGATTCCAGAACGAAATCGGCGAGATAGAAGGACACTTACATGAGAACTCGATGGTGGCGAGGCGATTAGAGTAAAGCAGAATCGGAGCAATAACCGTCATAGAGAGCATCAACACCACCAGATTTCTGATCCGCATTTTTCATTCAAAATATAAAAAACCTAGCAATTTGCAAAGTAACCAAATCCTCACTCCACCGATCGGCTCGAACGGTATGCCAAATAAACACCACACGTCGTCGTCCGCAAAGACTCCGTCAGAATCTTATATAGAAGAAATGAAAATAGGAAAGAATATAAGAAGCAATACGGCAATCGTTCATCGAATGATAAAATCCCTTTTGGCGGGGAAGGAACTGTATTCTCTCTGCTCTACCTGAGACTACACCACAACACAGTGCCTTGCAGTGATGCCTTTTTCAGAAGAACAAAAAATGGCCGAAGAGGACAGGAAGAAGAAGAAGAAGAAGAAGGAGTATGATTTCGATCAGCATTCAACAATCAGCGTCGTCCTTCCCGCACTTTTGAGGAAGAAGAAACACAACTACGAATCGACGATGTCCAACACGTGATAGAAAGAGAAAATTACGGACAGCCCAACCTTATTATATAATTTTCCTTATTTTTTTATTATTATTTTACAAATATCTAAAATTTCATAAATCTCAATTTTTATCTATAAACTTTACTCTATTTAATAATTTTTTAAATTAACCGACTTAATAATATAAAATTAAATTATATCTTTTAAACTGAAATAAATTTAAAAAAACTAAGAATTAGTCTTATAATCTAACATTTTTTTTAAGTTAAAAAAATTACTCTTGTATTTATATTTATAAATAAAATATTTTATTATTTTATTTTTGTTATTTGTTAAGTTTTATGACAATATTTTAATTTAATTAGATGAGTTATTATATAGTTTTTTATTTTTCTCGTTTGAACGGAATAAAAAAGTATAGGGTAAATTATTTTATTATTTTATTATTTTATTATTTTATGAGGATCAACCGTCAATAAAGAAATAGTAAAATAAAACTGTTCCAATATTAAAATATTCCTGGATCTCACATGTTCCTCGCTAAAGGCCCAAATCGCCAGCTGCCAGCCCATTTACGAAAATAAATAAAATAAAATTATTATATTACATTTCTTTGTATTTTAAATTTTAAAAAGTAACAAAATAAAATATAAAAATATCACTCTCACCTTCGGGTTTTAAACGACAAATAAATATATATATAGAGGTTTCGATATTGAGTCGAGCTAAATAGGTCATTTATACTAACAAACAAAAGGCACCACGAGAGTTACCAATTGCTTTAGAACGAGAAAAATATGTGATCACGTGGGCCGTTAGGCAATCGTGCTCTATCTCGTGTAATTACACCGCTCAAGACGCATGTTCGCTTGCTTTTCCGTACATACGCACAACATTTTTTTCCCTCTTATTCTTATCCTTCTAATTAAATTGACGAATTCTGATGAACGTTTATTTTTATTAGTGTGAATGACTTGATCCAAATATGGATAAGATTTAGCTCTTTAGTTAATTATATAAAAATTTAAAGAAATATCTAATATTGGAAATTACTTCTAAAACTTGCATAAATTTTAATTATAAAATTATTCTGTATTTAGCTATTTTCCATTTTGAAACAATTTTAAAATCTTAATTAGATTTTAAAAGACGTGTTTAAAAGGACAATAAAACCTCAAATAATTAAAACATAATTCTTTTAAAATAATAACCCGACAACACATTGTTCCAACACGATGTTACATACAATGTTAATAGAGTAACCTAACATTAAAACTATTTATACAAGCAACAAATGTTGTTAAAAGGGTTACTAGGTCTAGCTTATGATATTAACACATATTAATTTTGTGTCGGTCTCAATCTAGTTCAACTTTAATGTTATTCTGACCTGTTTTCATATTATATCGGCATCTCAAGGATGACTTGGTAATGAAACATTAATTATTGTTCTTATTGAATTCGAGAAAAAAAAATATTACATCATTATTATCAATTTAAGCATCACTCAATAATTTAAAATATTATAATTACTATTAAAATGCGAGAAGTTGTTTAAGTTCTCACTCTTAAATATGGTTGAATTTTAAAAAATGTTTAAAGAATTTCTCAAATAAAACTTTCATTTTTGTATATAAAGTGTACATCGATTGGTTAATTCTTTTGTATCAACCCAAAAGTTATTATAAACCCATGACCATTCCGTAAATTAACGGATGTGGGACTTTCATCATCCAACACCTCCCCTCAAACAAAGCACGCTTCCCCTTAATCGAGGCTTGACTCCTTTGGAGTCTTAGTCATTTTTGACTGCCTTCGTACCTTCAAGGAGGCTTGACTCCTTTTTGGAGTCATTTGTTCGACATTCGAGGATTTGCCAATCTAACAAAGCACGCCTCCCCTTAATCGAGGCTTGACTACTTTGAAGTCTTAGTCATTTTTGACTGCTTTCGTACCTTCAAGGAGGCTTGACTCCTTTTTGGAGTCATTTGTTCGACATTCGAGGATTTGCCAATCTAACAAAGCACGCCTCCCCTTAATCGAGGCTTGACTCCTTTGGAGTTTTAGTCATTTTTGACTGCCTTCGTACCTTCAAGGAGGCTTGACTCCTTTTTGGAGTCTTTTGTTCGACATTCGAGGATTTGCCAATCTATTGGCACGGCAAAGTTTAGGGCATGGCTCTGATACCATGTTAGACGAACACGACTCTCCACAATGGTATGATATTGTCCACTTTGAGCATAAGTTCTCATGACTTTGCTTTGGGCTTCCCAAAAGGCCTCATACCAATGGAGAGTGTATTCTTAGATTTTAAACCCATGACCATTCGACCATTCGATAAATTAACCGATGTGGGACTTTCATCATCCAACAGAGTCATATAAAAGCTATTACATTTGATAAACAAATCATATCTCACAAAAATCAAATCCGATCAAACCCGAGACAAATACAACTCAATTAATTAGGTCATAAGCTCAAAAAAAAAAAAAAAGATAGATGAGAGAGAGAGAGAGAGAGAGAGGCCGGAACGTGAAAAGTGGAACAGACCTTAGAAGCTGGACCTCATGTAACATGTTGGGTGAATGATGGCACTGCGGGACGAACAACAACGCCAATGCTCACAAACTGCGTGACCCAATTCCATTTTCCATACAAATTAAACAAAATATATATGTATATATATATATTTATTTATTTCCAATTTACCTTACCCGCCTCGTTCATTGTTCATCTTCCAAGCCACTTGATCAATGGAACGCCAAAGCACCAAGCGACCAAGAGAATCATCAGCCGAACAATCTTCGCTGCTGGAGATCGGTAATGGAAAGAAGCAGCGTCTCCACGGCGGCAGTGACGACGCCAAGGAACCTCTTCCTAGAACATTCTATGATTTCGATCTGTCGTTCGGCGTCTTCGATTTCCCCTGGTTGAAGGAGAGCCTGATTTATTCCGAATCCGAGGACTGGAAATTGGACGATGTTTTCTTCACCTCCTTTTACAATGGATTATCCACCGCCGATGCTACTTCGATTGGGACGGAGTTGTCGTCGGGGCAATTGGTTTGGAGTAATCTGCCGGATCCTTGGGAGGCGGAATACGAGGCACAAGTGCCGCCGACGACGCTGGACGACGGCGGAGGAGGACAGGCGGGGGAGGGGATGGATTGTATCTGGAGCTCTCTGCTAAATCAACCGCTTCAACAAGGGAGTAGAGCGTTGTAGAATTGGGCGTAATGAAGTTCGTGTTCTCTCCCAGAGCCATCGGCGGCTCCTTCCAACCACTTGGATCCAATAAAATTAAAATTCTCCTGTTTGATGGAAATCAAGGGTGGATATGAGTTCTCTTTTTGGAACTTAAATCAACTATAAACCTAGTTTTTATTTAGTTCGGTGAATGGTTTCAAACGCTATCGTTCCAACTTTCAAAATCAAATCACCTCACGCGTATGTTGAGGAGAATTTTTCACACTTCAAGGAATGTTTCGTTGAGGGGCAAGCTTACCACGCTGGCACACCGCTCGACGTCTAGCTGTAACAGCCCAAGTCCACCACTATATAGATATTTCAACCTATAAATCAGGTTTGAGATCTCACATTGATTGGAAAGGAGAAAAACATTCACCTCTCCTTAGCAGACATGTTTTAAAATTGTGCGGTTGAGTTGACGATGATATGACATCAATACGAAAAGGTCAAAGTGGACAATATTTGTTAATGGTAGGCTTATGTTTACGTAAGCTAAATGTTCGGTTTAACTTAGAGCAATAGTTTTCATCTTAGAAATAGTTCAAGAACGAACAAAGGATTGTTCGGGTCATCAGGTAACGTAAAATGGATGATTGAGGGATTTTTTTTTTTCTTCAATTTTTTTATTAAAAAAAGAACAATTGGCTGTAAAAAATTGAATGGCTCACCCAAATAAGGAGTATTATGTGTACAATGTAAGGCAAAAATAAAAAAAAAAACGATCAAATCGACATATATCCTCGTACTTAAGAGTGAGGACTATTCTCACCGATCAACATAAGTTCTTTCGCACGTTTTAACTTCACTCACATGCTTTATAAAAAAAAAAAAAAAATTTAAGAGGTCACCTAACATAATTGCTTCAAGTACGCCCGTTTGAAGTGTGGGAATTGTGAGATCCTATATTAGTTGAAGAGGGGAACGAAACATTCCATATAAATAAGGGTGTGAAGACGCTAGGCCCCCAAGGGGCAAGGTTTCCACATCTCTCCCTAGTAAATGCATTTTAAAAATCAGAGATTGACACCGATGTGTAACTAACCAAAGTAAACAATAGTTGCTATCACGGGGCTTGAACTGTTACAAGAATAGCCTTCATTGTGAGAAGCTACAAGGGCTAAAATTACAATATTTGCTAGCGGTAGACTTTGGTTGTTGCAGGAATAGTTTTCATTGTGAGAAATAATACATAACATGTCAAAGCAAACAATAGCTGCTAGTAGTGGGCTTGTACTTGGACTGTTACAGGAATGATCTTCACTATGAGAAGCGATACGTAACGAGTCAAAACATACAATATCAGTTAGCGGTGGGCTTGAGTTGTTATAGAAACAGTCTTCACTATGAAAAGCGATATGTAATGAGCAAAAACAGACAATGTCTGCTAGTGATAGACTTTGGTTGTTATAGGAATAGTTTTCACTATGAGAAATGATACGTAATGGGTCAAAACAGACAATAGCTGCTAGCAGTGGACTTGGACTATTACGGGAATGGTCTTCACTATGAGAAGTGATACATAACGAGTTAAAACATACAATATCGGTTAGCGGTGGACTTGGGTTGTTACAGAAACAATCTTCACTCTAAAAAGCAATACGTAATTGGCAAAAACAGACAATATCTGCTAGTAGGAGACTTTGGTTGCTACAGGAATAGTTTTCACTATGAGAAATGATACGTAACTGGTCAAAACAGACAATAGCTAATAGCAGTGAACTTAGACTATTACAAGAATGGTCTTCACTATGAGAAGCAATACGTAACGAGTCAAAACATTCAATATCATTTAGCAGTGGGCTTGGGTTGTTATAGAAACAGTCTTCACTATGAGAAACGATACGTAACGGGCAAAAACAGACAATATTTGCTAGCGGTAAACTTTGATTTTTACCGGAAAAGTTTTCACTATGAGAAATGATACGGGTCAAAGCATATTACATGAATGGTCTTCACTATGAGAAACGATACGTAACAAGTCAAAACATACAATATTGATTAGCGGTGGACTTGGACTCTTACAGAAACAATCTTCGCTGTGAGAAGCAATACATAACAGACAAAAACAGATAATACAGATAATATTGGTTAGTGTGCTCTATTACAGAGATATTATTGAAAATGAAGTGAAAATTGAAAATTAATTTTGTTAAAAACAATAATAATGAGGACATTGAAATGGACGAAAGATGCATAAAACAAGAAAGAAAAACCAAAAGCCACGCTGTAAATTAAATTGTTAAAAAGTAAGTAAAAATATAATTTAGTTGGATGGAATGAATCAGACATTTTTTCACAGCGAAGCTGACCTGTCACTGTGAGCTTGCCTCGTTGTCGTTTAGACTGGTTTTTGTGCCGGTCCAGAAAACGCAAGCCTACAAAGAAGCTGCCCCTTGGGTTTATCCCACGGCGTTCCCTATAAAACCACGCAGATCGGCCTAACCCATCGTCATCGGGTTGGGACTCTGGACCTGCCTGGCTCCCTGCATGCCAACTATGGAGCCTTTGCCAAGCCTCCTTCGCATCCTTCCTAGTTGGCATCAAGGGAGTCATGCAGGCTAAATTTCATCGCCATCCCCGCCCACGATTTCTCGTTCTATCGAAAAATTATTTGAGGAGACTCGAGCGTGCCTCACTTTTCTAAGCAAGCGGGTTAAATGCATGGTAAGAAAAATGTCTCGTTTTTTTCGTTCTCTCTCGTTTGCATCATTCAATGAGTGGGTGTAAATTTACTATAGCAGTCTCGTCGAACTAATAGTTACTCGAGGAGGCTGTCACAATTAACCCCATCTCATTACTATGTGTCTGTGAGAGGTACATCTTGGTTATTAATTTTGTGTTTAAGTTTTAGATATTATATATATGCTAAATTAATAAAAATTCAACGAACACTTTACTTCAAAAATAAACTTTAATTTTAAAAAATTTAATTGATATAAATCTAATTTTTTTAAAAAAATTCAAAAGCACACTATATTTTAAATAATACATATTAAATTTTAAAAATACCATTAACACCCTTTACCATCTATAGATATTTCATAAAAAAAAAATAATGTTAGTTTTAAAAGTTGAGAATATTTTTGCTAATAGTAATATTATTTTTTTAATTTAAAAATAAAAAATAAAAATACTTTTGACTTTAAAGAGTTTAAAGTTATTAATATATATATATATATTTTGAAAATTGAAGGATATTATTGACATTTCATGTGGCATTAAAGTTAAAAAGAATATTTTCTTTTTAATAAAGTGCTTTTAAGATAATTTTGTAGGATTAAATTTAAAAAAAAAATACCCATAGATTATGAGTCTTACGGTAATTCTAAAGTTCCTTAAATATTAAAAAAAAAATGTAATAAACTTTTGAATAATTAATTTTGAAAAATGAGGTACCAAAGTTTTGATTAATTAATTTTGAACCCACTTTTTTCAAATGTTTACAAAAAAAGGCCAACCAATAGAAACAAAGCAAGTAGATAATGCCCTTTACACCACCATCTGCCAAGTTTTATAATTATATATATATATATATATATATATATATATTCCATGGCTACTTTAAAAACCAGCCACCTCATCAACGAGTTCATTCTTCATTTCACTCATCCCCCTAAACTCGCCTCTCAATTTCCCCTTTCCATAAGATGGCCACCGCCACCGCCGCCGCCGAAATCTCTGACCGACACCCCCCCATCGCTGTCGCAAGCCTGCCCCACCTGACCGACCACTTCCCGACCCTCCAAAGCAGAACCAACCCACTCCAGAACAACCAATTCTTCCACCCAATAGACGGCTTCTACGCCACCTCCACCGACGTCGTCCTCCGCCGCATCGCCTTCGACCTCTCCAGAAAGCCTTCTCCAGCACACGTGGCGTACTACCGAGCTGGTCCACGGCGATCGGTTTATTTCGAACCGGAGTCGGTTCGAGCGGCGATCGTGACGTGCGGAGGGCTGTGCCCCGGGATGAACACGGTGATCAGAGAGCTGGTGGTGGGGCTGTGGGAGCTGTACGGAGTGAGGCAGATACATGGGATTGTGGCTGGCTACAGAGGGTTTTACTCGAGCGAGCCGGTGGAGCTGAGTCTGAAGCTGGTCGATGATTGGCATAAGAGAGGCGGCACCGCCCTTCGAACCTCCCGTGGCGGGTTTGATCTCCGGAGAATCGTCGATGCCATCCAAGATCGTGGTTTCAATCAGGTTTTTTAATTTAATTTTAAATTTAACTCATTATTTATTTTATTTTTATTTGGGAGTTAATATTTCAAGGGCATTTATTTTAGAGTTAGTTTGAAGGCATTTAAAAAAATGGGACACTTGGCGCTACAACACTGAAACTTGGATGTTTTTTTGGTAGTTAATAATATGTCGTGGGGCGGGAGATGTCCATGTGTCTAATTTGTAATTTTTTTTTTTATTTTATTATTATTATTTTTTTAAAAGTTTTAATATTTCAATATAATCTTTATATATATAAAAAAATCCTAATAAATCAAATATATTCATTATGCAAACACCACCCTAATATAATTTTAAAATATATTACTAGAAATATAAAATGTAATATTTACAAACATAGAAAAAAACCTAAAGCGTGTATATATATATATATATATTTATCTGTGTGTGTATGTATATATGTGTGTGTGTGTGTGTGTATGTGTATAGATATATATGTGTGTATGTGTGTATAGATATATATGTGTGTGTGTGTGTGTATATGTGTGTATAGATATATATGTGTGTGTGTATATATATATGTATGTGTGTGTATGTGTATATGTTTGTATAGATATATATGTGTGTGTGTGTATATATGTATGTATGTCTGTATATATATATATATATGTATGTATGTATGTCTCTATATATATGTATGTGTGTCTATATATATATATATCTATGTAGGTATGTCTCTATATATAGGTATGTATGTATGTCTATATATATATATATATCCAAGTTTGTCCGGCTCACAGATAAAATGGATATCTTTAATGGCTATGTTAAATAATTTCTTTAATATTTCTGTTTCCTAATTTCTCCAATAGTTTTCGTTGTCAAGAATTTTCATATTTGGATTAGGAATTAGGATTGTTTTAATGGGAGATTCATTGCAAATTAATTCACTAGGTCTACATAATCGGAGGAGATGGCACAATGCGCGGCGCCGTCAAGATATTCGAAGAAGTATGCCGTCGGGAGCTGCAAGTCGCCGTCACCGGGATCCCGAAAACAGTTGACAATGACATCGGAATCATCGACCGATCATTCGGATTCCAAACAGCCGTCGAAATGGCGCAGCAGGCAATCAGCGCCGCTCATGTGGAGGCTGAGAGCGCGGTGAACGGCATAGGTCTCGTGAAATTGATGGGCAGAAGCACTGGCCATATCGCTCTTCACGCAACATTGAGCAGTCGAGACGTCGATTGCTGCTTAATACCTGAAATGGAGTTTTATTTGGAAGGCGACGGAGGTTTGTTTCCGTTTCTTGAGCGGAGGCTGAAGGAGAATGGGCATGCGGTTCTGGTGGTTGCAGAGGGAGCAGGACAGGACACGATACCTAGAACCGAGGCACAAAAGGAAGAGCGGGACGAATCTGGAAATCCGGTGTTCTTGGATGTGGGCGGATGGCTGAAAACGGAACTCAAAGATTGGTGGGCGAGAACGCACCCCGGTGAGTTGTTTACTGTTAAATACATAGATCCTACTTACATGATTCGTGCTGTGCCTGCAAATGCTACAGATAACTCCTATTGTACATTGCTTGCTCATTCTGCAATTCATGGGGTAATGGCTGGTTATACTGGATTTGTCTCTGGCCCTATTAATGGAAACTATTCGTATATTCCTTTGAAAGATGTAGCAGAAGCAAAGAATGAAGTTAATACGAAAGATCATAAATGGGCATGGGTTAGATCTGTCACTAATCAGCCTGATTTTGTAGAAACTCGACTATTCGATCCAGGAAATCAGAGTTCATCAGGGATTTCTAGTTGAAATAGATTTTAGGATTCTGTGTCTGGAAAGTGTTGTTGGAGATATCTGTAACTGTATCATACCTTTAATCTTTTGAAATCAAAGTGCACTTCTGTTCTGTACACACAAATCAAAATGATCAAACACTTGATTGTTCTTAAGCACACAAATTTCTGCTACGATTACTTCAGAATTACAGAAAATGCCTTTCAGAGAATTCCTGGAACTGGCTTGTCAGCTAGTTATAGCGCAATCTTATCCTTATGGTAATGTGGGTTTGGCATATTGGGCAGGCGATGAGATCTTCACCACAAGCTGAGCATATCTGCAATAAACATGCTTGTTAATACTAAACCATTGAAAAGGGGACAAAAAGGATAGAGAGAACAGATTGGAGTTGTTCCCATTTACCTGATGTCCACATCCAAGTGCAAGATCTTTCTCATTGATGTAGCATTGTGAACAGATCTGCAAATCACAATGTGGTCATTAAGAAATTGATCGTTCTATGAATGAACATCATAGGTTTCTAGCCAACATGTGTTTATGTGATGTTACAGAGTTCTTTCAAGTGTAGCCTTACCCGATTAAACGACGACGATGGCGAAGACACAGAAGATGATCTGAGAAGTGCTGAATGAGATGGAGAGGAGGAACCATAGAAAGATGTAGATGATATGTCACTTTCTGTGCGCCTAAAGTTTGGAAAATGGTTGCGGGAAATATAGGTGATTGGAGGAGGCCGTGGCAGTGGGAAAGGTAAATGCCCCTGTGTGTTTCTTTTTTGGCTGAAAGTATAAAACAAGTTTAGAAAGTTGAGTTAACAATATGCACGAGATTTACCATGATAAGCAGCATTGTTGAAACATTCAGCTGGTAATTTACCCCAGAAGTTGGAGTCTCATTGTTGCCTTGTATTGTGGTGGTATCTCCATTAGACATTGCAGTGCAAACTCGGTCTTCTTTTTCGATGGGGGAGTACCCTTGGACATGATATCGGTAAAGTTCACGAACTGCACCAGACAATGAACACCAGAATGAAAAGGATATATATAATAGAACCAAAAGAATGGTCTTACGAGTCTGGTACTGCAAGTTCTATCTCGTCTTTTTTCACCTGAAAATTGTCGAAATTGCGAGCTGGGATTTGATCATCGCATTGGTACATCTGGTCCCATGGTCCATCACCCACACCGACTAAGATTATCGATAAAGGATATTTGCTGCATAAAGAAGATGAAAGTTGAAGCTACAAAAGGCAACGGGAATGTAGCAAACATGTGCTTATTTACATGTATTTCAACCAACCTTGCTTCAACAATCGCTTCAATAGTGCTCTGTTCTTGAGAACTGAGGTGGCCTTGACAAGTGTCTACACTTCTTGTGACCTATCACAGAGAACATGAGTTATACGAATAAGTCAGCTTTAGAAGAACCATAAACAGTCTAATCAACTTCAATCATAATGTAGCCAGTTACTTGTCCATCAGCAATGATCAGAAGAATATGATACTGGCCGTAGCTGTCGTTGACGATTCTGATGGCGTTTCGGATGATTGGAGCAAATGATGTCGGACCTGATATAACAAGTAGTATGCAAGGGAACGGAAGATGTAGTGAATTCAAATTGAGCAGGAAGAAGGGAATGGAGATTCCAGTGAGGAAGATTTACCAGCCAGATTCACGTGAGGTACTGTTTCTCTGTAGCAATGGAGTACTTCCTCAAAACCATGGCAGGGCGTATCTCCCGGATGGAAGCTAAAAACTTCCCGATCACCAGTAGTAACTGCAGAAGAAAAAAGAGAAATGAATGGAACTTCTAAGATAGTTCTGCAGAGAATCATGAAATTCTACAATTTGATTACAAAATCACACCATCTCCGAAGCCATAGCAGGGAATTATGTTATCATCATCGAATTTTTCGAGTGTCTTGCCGATGATGGATATTGCTTGTTCATAGGGATTGAGACAAGCTCCATCAAGGTCATGCAGATTCCTCCCCATGAAAGATTTCTTCCCAGTCCACTCATTGCTTTTTGTAAAGTCAATCCCAACGATCAAGTTGGAGGATTCCAAACCTGCGTTTTCCAGGGCTTCACTCACCTGCAAGTGCAGAAAGAAGTCAATAAACTTCAGCATCAAATTCAGGATTTATGAATCCAATTAACAGATGTTGAAAGTGAACCATTAGATGAATGATACCTGTTCAAGGGATTCAAAGTCGTCACCATTTATTATAGGACTTGGGGGTCGGGAAGAAGGCGCGGAATTGGTGCTTGGGGGAAGACTATGACCACAAGAACATCTTAATGGCTGGTTCCGATGATCACCATAGAAGTGCACATGGCAGTGAATGTTCTTAGAAGATTTTGCTCCCATTTTCTGTTTTGATGTTTGCTTTGATTAACAGGTCTCTCCAAAGAAGAAGCAACCCGGGAAAGAAGATTGGTTTGGTGAAGAACAATATTGTAATTTAGGAAGAACAATGTCTAAGAATCAGAATTGAATGCCAAAACATATTTGAAGGGAGAAGTATGGCAAGTAATGACGAAGGATACCGTGCCTGTTCAAGAAATGATCAAAGTCAAATAAATTAAACACATTCGAAGCTGAAATCAGGAAGCTTCAACGAACCCATCATCCAAATTCCCTATCTATCAGAATTGTATAATAAAAAAGTCAAGTGTATATACAAGATAATATTAGGCATCCATTTTAAGCCTCTGAATAATCCTTCTGTTGAATGATTCAATATGTAATTCAGTTGAGAATTAGTGTATTTTATAAATGGAAACCCATCAGTATTCAACGGAATTGATAGTGATGCTTCAATTATCATCTAGTTTTATAAAGCTCAAGTGAGAAAACTGATGTTTTTTTTTTCCCCTTTTTTAATGAATGAATATATTTTGTTGGAATGTTCTACGTGGATTGGAGAGTCAACGGGCATTCCAAACACTCAATGACATTTTTAGTCTTTATGATCTTGTTACAAAAAATTAGAAGTAATTATGTGAGAATTTCTTGCTACCTTCTACCTTATTTATTATACTTCGAGGTTGTCTTGTAAGAGAAGTATGTACAAATTTATAAACGAAATATATCTTGTAAACTAGAGAGATTGACCGGTGATTCTAAAGAGACGGACCAGTTAGAGTTAGTAAGAATTTCATGACTAAACTCTGCAACAGTCAATTTGAGTACAATTCAACTATTTAAACAAATACTCTCGACCAAGAACACCCAGAAATCAAAGGTTCAAATAATAACAAATACTCTCGACCAAGAACACCCAGAAATCAAAGGTTTAACAATAATATTTATGTGACCCTATAGATATTTTGAACCAAAATTAGACCCAAACTTGCATCTCCTCTGTGGTAAAGAGTTGGGGGCCTCAACATGAGTAGCATATTAGCAAATATAAATGAACAGCCCAACATGAGTAGCATCCAGTAGAAACTACTCCCTTAACATCCCCACTTTACATTCAAATTAATAGAGGTTTTCTAGTTTGATTTTCAGTCTATCAGAGCTGGATTCAGATGAGAGAGGCATTCACAAGAAAGTAACCCACATTTCTACACTACGGCAAATACAGATCTTTAAAAACAAAATATTCCAATGGGCTAATGCCTAATGCTTGCCTCCTCGAAGCTATATCTAGTGAATACCATTGAAAAGAAAGGGTCCTAATTTTCAAATCCCATAAAACAATCTTCGCCGGAAGGGGAGAAGTCAACCGGACAAGTAATCGATCTTATGACTTCAGGATGATTTTACCTTGGCTAGCTCGCTCAATACATTGTTGAGAGGTTCACTCAGCTTGCTTCTTTTGCTCTGCTTTGTCAAAATAAATTAAAAAGTAATAATCATAGGAACAAAATTGCTATGATGCATGACCAATCTGACCCATCTAGGAAGAACCACGGACCACTATTGGTGTGTAAGAAGCATCTTTAAAAGGTCTGACTAATAAAGCATACTTATCAAGCTTTTACAGTTTTTGACAACATATATAAATGTATTTCAAAAGTCCTTAAAAGCACTTGTATTTTGCATACACTTTTAGACTTACGACATACTAAGAGGGAGGCAATACCCCTCCATCTAAGTTACAAGAAAAGTACAAGGCCAAAACAATAAAAGAATTGAAGCGTAGAAGCTAAATATGTGTTTTTTGAGTTCAACAAGTGGAGAATCTCTAGCCTTTAGATCAAGAGTACATTGCCTAAACCAGTTAAATTAAGTATAGAACGAGCTTTGTCTACAAACTTTAGAGATAGGGGCGAGCTAGTCTTAGGTGGGCCGAAACTCAGTAGGTGTTTTAACTATGTTATATGACATGGCGATGTAAACTATAGAAATTTTAAAAACTTATACCGTACCTTCAAGGATGGAAGAAGAGCAAAAACTTCATCAGGAGTGTCTGGGCAGACATTAGCAAGCACACATACCTGCGTTAATATCGAGTCAGTTCATCATTCGAAAGAATCAATTTTAGAAAAGGCAAGAAAGAACATAAAGATAGCTACCTCGCTGTCCATTACGCCATATTTCTTGAGGGTTCTGGAACATTCAGTTAAGCACTCAACAGAATGGACTAGATAGAATGAAAAGAGCACTATACAGCACACCAGGAGTGCTGGATTGGTAAAAGGCACACTTCCACTGCAGTATGTAAATTTTTTCCCTCCATAAAAAGATATACAAAGAAATTAACAATAATTTGATGGCCTATTCAACAGATCAAGGATACTTGAGAACTGGTCTAACTGACTCGGTATTTACGTAGTGGTTGGCTCTTTTGGCATACTGCAACCCCCTATCAAATGATCTAAGATAAAAGCAATTCAAGTTTGTCAGCATGCAGATTTCTTCTTTCAAATAAATAGTTAATGGCATTCACTTACGTTGGGATTTTTATGGTTGGATCTGCTGATAGAAGAACCATCTGATCTTGGATTCCCTGTAAAATTTGTGCAGCCTCACAGTCCATAAGGCATTGGCATTTAACATTCTTGGGAAGTTCTGCACGCCAATTTAAACCAAAACAGCCCAATTTGAATAGCATACAGATACCCTCCACAAATTCCATGGAACAAATAACATAAAAGGAGACATACTGACACCAATCACTTATCCCAGCAGGAACAAACAAAAAATACGGCCTCGAAACAGAAAAGGTAAGGCAATACTGATCTTACATGATATGAATAACAGTAAAAACAAATACATTGATGACCATATAAGTAAAATTATATTCTTACCAAATAAAACCATATTCAAAGTCAAGGCAGTACCCACCTTGCTCAATCTTCAATTCTAGTGGCTGGGGTTCCTTCGCACCACTTCCGCCTTTTCCTCCTTTACCCAATTCACCTACAAGCCAAGATTGGAAAGGAGAGAAAGTCAATGAATTGCATTAACATCAAAATAACAAATAACAGGCTTATGAAGTTAAGACAGTAGAAAGATAAAAATAAAATGAACATCTAAAATTGTTACCATTTTTGCCACTGTATTTCATTGAAAAATTAATCTGCGCATCAACTGATCCTGTATGTAGTACAAGTACTTCCGAGTTAAGTAGTTTTATATAATAAGCACATGAATTCTGACAGGCAATTTGTTGAACATATAGAACACTGGCACATCAAGTGATTTGTATAACACAAAAAGTATAAATGACTATTGACCTTGAGCATCGAACTGGACTTTCCTTCCCTTCTTTGGCTTTAACAGACTATCATCCTTTCCTTTTAGAGAAGCTATGCAACAAGTCAGGAAGCATTTGATATACATTCAGCAAACAAAAGAATTTCCAATCATGCTTAATTATCCCAATCCTGATCTAGTTCGTTTAAATGCCCAGCTCCATAGAAAACATCACTATGTATTCCTGTGACCTATGATCCATTTAGAAAACTGCATGCGTAATCCATGGAAAGCTGGACAAATTTTCAGCTCTGTACAAATAGTTATGATGGTAGCTTTAAAATCCAAGTGATTCACAGAACAAAATCTTGGTTAAACAGAGAAAGAACAAGAAGATTGAGAATTAATTTGGAGAAGTGAGTTCAAGATGCATTAAGCTCGAAGCCATGAGTAATTGGGGTGTAAATTATTGCACAGACTCAAAAGACATTAACAATACGAACCATCCTTGAAAGAGGAGGACTTGAGCGAAGACTTTCCAGGTTTTTTTGGCAGTGGAGAACCCTTTTCTCCTTTCTCCGACATCACTGGAAATTGTTTCCCCGCTTTCACTTCGATTAAGCTCTCCAAGCAAAATCTACTTCAGAAAAACCAACACTAAAGCATTCGAAACTGAAACATTAAACAATTCAAATAATCTTTCCTACAACAAATAGAGAAATACGGAGAACCGACGAGCCTGGTTGGATGATCGGAAAATGAGAGAACCGACGAGCCTGGTTGGATGATCGGAAAATGAGAGAACCGACGAGACTGCTTTCAACTTTCAATTCTCGTGGATTAAATAAAGGAGAGAGTCCAATTAGAATTACCAGTATATTCAATTAAAATTAAAATTGAAAAACGAAAAAAAAATATATATTATCTGAATTGTACGCTTTTTCTTAAGGAATATAATTTTTACTTGAATTCAATATTATTGTGCTCCCTCTAATTTTTATGATAAACTAAAATTGTAATATTTAAATTATCGACGTGAATTTTTTACAAGAATTTTTAATTTTCCCAATTTTACAAACAGTTTTCTTTTATAGAGCTATATTTGTGGGAATTACTTCTTTTTTTTGCTTTTTTTTTTTTTTTTTGAAAGAATATATCTAAAATTAATTGAGCGCTTATTAACAAAATTTATATTAGTTTTTTTTTTTCTCCCTGAAACGCATATCATAGTATTATTAAAATATAGAAATTAAGAGACTAAATTCAAACCTTTGGTGATAGAAAATTTTAAATATCTTTTTAAAATTTATTAAAATTCCCTTGAAACTTAATCATATTTAACACATAATCTTCCACACGAAAAAAGAAATCGCACATTTTAAACTATTATAATTATATTTAATAATAAATAACAAAACAATAGAATTACTATTGCCACTCATATTCATCTAGTGTTAAGCAACAATTACATCACGTATAATGATATTACTGATTCCAACTTCAATATTCATAATATAGAATATCCATAAATTCAAATAATAATTGATAATACTGCTAATTATTGGTTGAATGAAATGCAGCCCAAAAACAGGCCATAACGATGATCACTTTCATGTTCGTACCATCATCACATTTATAAATTGAACTGATGAGTTTAAAGAAGAAACAAATAAAATTGTACAAACCAAAACGTAAAAGATACAAAAATACACACATTAACATCACAAGCCTAACTACAATTTATACTCAGAATTTTGCTCAACTGGGCTTCGATTCACAAAGGAGATGCGAGGAGGACAGGAAATTTCCCATTTTCGTTCAACAAAAGAAAGAAAGAAGATACAACTGCAACCACATCAATCAAATTTAAAACAAAACTTGCAAGCAAACAGTCATTTGACCTGTACCAAGGAAACTCCACAATGAGAGACGTCTCACGTATCATCAACTTGCGAGTGAAACACAAAACTTGGGAACGTGGTCGTGATATCCCTGCCAGTGCCAACACAAAGAGAGTAAAACAACTTAGCAATAGAGTGAGGACAAGATGAACAAAAACAGCTAGTCAGCCAATCTCATCTCACGATGATTCCGTGACACCTTTTGGAAAAAAAGTGTTTTAAAACACTTTCAGCAATCACTTGAAAAGAAAAGTGATTAAATGCTTAGAAATTCAAAGTGTTTCGTCAAAAAGTACGTTTAGTTTCATCTGTTTTGAAATTCCTCCTTAAAAATAATTAAGAGTGGTTTTAACTTTTAAAATTTTAACCAAACACTACAAATTTTGAAAAATAAAACGCATTTAGTCCTATAAACACTCTAAACACCCCTGATCTTGGTTGATGGGGAAAGTTAGAGAATACAGCTCACTCACTTGAGATATTGGAGTGTCATATTCTTCAAAAGGGATGGATGCCTCACAACAAGGTTTCGCCACTCTTCCTTGTCAATCTTACCATCATGTTTTGTGTCAGCTTCTTCGAATGTCTGCATAATTAGGAGACATCCAGTTATAATTTCAAAAACAGAAACACATGTGCAGCCACTTAAGCTATAGCTTAATTTTAATAGACAGCACAAAAAATTGCACCTGATAGACACATGCAACAAAGGAAGCATCGATAGAACAAAAATAGTCAACAAACTCCAAAGGTATAAATTGTAATGAAATGCTTTACATTTTTATCAATGTTCCTCTTTTCAATATAAAAGAAAATCCCTTTAGAAGACAGGACCGAGAAGGCATCTGCTAGAGAACAGCTTCGTATTGTTTCTTGAGCCTAAATTATTATGTATTTTGAAAATCTCACATATTTTCTCCCACTCAAGATTGGCACTTAGATATTAGCAAGCAGTAACCAATAGAGACATGTTCATGAATCAGAAAAGTAAGTGTTGACATATCAATCAACTATAACTCAGCAGGTCTAGCATCGAAGTAGTGAAAAAAGCAACATGGATAGAAAAAGTGTGACATTCAGTAGAGTGGACAATTGGAAGTTAAAAGGCCCAATAGTTCAATAATATTCAAGGTAATTCAATAGAAAGCCACTATTATTCCCTTACAGTTGACTGCAAAAAGACTAAATGTGTCAGAAGTAAACAGATTACGAAGAGAACCTTGTCGATGATACTTTCTATAACATCATCTGACAAATTCATGCCAGATTCAGCCAGCGTAGCCACAACCATCTGCTTTACCTACACAACATTTTATTGTATAAAAGACTACAATTATTGAGCAAACCATTTCGGGAATAGTAACCATATGGCAATAGTACGATAGTAGAACATGGAGGGGATTCAAAAAAAAAATTATTTAACCCAACCTCATTGAAAAACCATAAACTTTAAGCATCAATGCAATTTGACATTTCAATTTTAACTCCAAGAATAAAATTAAAGATTTCCAACACTGTAATGACAAAGAGGCTGTTGGCTGTCATGAAATAAGTCTCTGCCTAGAAACAAGAAAGTCGACAATCCAACAATCAAAATTCAATTCCAACCATTTCTGATCATATAGCAGCAAAGAAGAAAAAAAAATTGACTTATTTAGCTGACATACTAAGAAGAATTAAAAACTGGATTTCATCAAAAGAATCGGGCATCCTTCTCTAATAGATCCAAGGGGATAGACGATAAAATGCATAATGACAGTCTTTACAGATCAATTGGCATCATCTATGTAAAATGTTCCCAAACAATCATCCATTAAAAAGGGTAGCCTGATATAACAATCAGTTTGAAAGTGGTCAGCATCCATGCAATGTATTGCTCAAATAAGGATAAAGAAGGCATTGGTGAAGTTACCTCCTGTCTCTCAATAAATCCTTGCTGTTTAAGATCGTATAATTGGAATGAAACTGCAAATTATTATCAACATGAGATCACAAGATAATCAAACCAGAATGATAAGAAAAGATAACACCAAGAAATTAACTCCAACAACCATAAAACACCATTAGTTCCTTTCCCTTTCTAATGGAATGTACATAATAAAACAGAGGGATACAACCATGAATAAAATATAATAGTGTAATAGGTACCTTGGTAGAGGTACATGTGAAAATTGACATTAAAAACTTACACTCAATTTTATCATCAATGGGGGCATTCGGGTGAAAGACAGAAAGAGCCCGTGCAAATTCTTCAAAATCAAGTATCCCATTGTGCTTTGTGTCAAACAGGTCAAAAACCTATAACGTTGCATTACAGAAGTTGTAAATGGTAAAATCATGCAATCAGCTAGCAAATGAGTGCAACATTTGGTACCAGGCAATTTGATAAGATAATAAAGAGCTAAAATAGTGTATACACCAGTTCTCAGGAAGCACAAACCAAACCCCCATACAAACAATTCAAAAAAATCTGATTAAAACAGGAAACTTGAATTGTTCTTTAGTCATTTTTAATTGTTCTAACTGATTGAACCACAGATATGCAGGCATATAACTACTGTTCTGAAAACACAACGATGACAACAAGCACACACGCATTTTAGAAGGTAACTAGTCCAAACGAGTTGCTAAATATAAAAAGTAAAGCAATGAGAAACCTTGCAAACTGACAAAGTAATCAAGTATATTTCCATCAAATGACACATAGTGGTCACACTGCATAACTTTATTCATAAAAAATGTATGACTAGATACCTTAATTTCAATTATTTATATGCAGGAACTGGAGATTGATTAGAATCTTAGGACCATTTAACTTCATTGGTAGGTAAAAGAATCAAATAAAATATAAAGGGCCGTCCAGGCCAGTCAAATTATAGTGGGTATGGAAAAAGAACCAAAGGTTCAATTGTAAATGATAAGGTTACCCTATCTGCAAATAAGCTCTCTTTTTTGTTTGTTTTGAACAGTGCCAATTGAAATTCTTCCTGCAGTATAATACAGAGAGAGAGTCAGAACAAAGCAAGAGAAAGTGTACCTCAAACATGAACAGAGTATCTTCTTGCAACACGATTGAAAACACAACATTAATGGGGAAACTAATTAAAACAACGAAATAAACCTTATTTATCAGCCCATCGTCAATCACTGCACTACTGATCTTCTTAAACAGTTCGTACAATGCCTCTATTTCACTTACACTGACTGCGATAGAGAAAACAAACAGCTAATGACTGCCAAAATTTACAAGCAAATAAAAGAGTGAAGGTCTTATCAACACAAATGAATCCAGTATGAAACAAAGAACAAAAGGGAAGAACAATAAAAAAAAAACAAAGAAAAGTACAAATTACTTAACATATGAAAAATAAGATATGAAATCAAATCAAATATCCACGCCAATAAATTAGAAAGATGATAGTGTCAGGATCAAGACTGAAAATTCTAGAAACATACATACTGTCTCCCTTGCAAGAGCCTCAGGATCTTGAAGGCCCCTGGGTCGCCTAGACGTATCTGCATCACAGCAGGTCGCTACAGCAGCGCAGAAATGCCTTATTCCCTCTAGGCATTGAACCATGTTCTTTTATAGCTGTCAAAACACTCCATACCTGCGCCAAAAATTAGTAAAAAAAAATATTTGAACAATTTTGTTCAAACAAGCTCACGGACTAAAGAACACGACAATTAATCAAGGTACCTCTTCACTACACAGCATGATTTCATAAAACAGACATGATTTATCATTGCAAAAAAAAAATTAATGACAATTTTTAAGATTCAGATTGCTATAAAAGTTTATCCTCCATTTCCAAATCAACATCAACTTCTCGTCAGTAAAGCAACGTCAAAGCAATGAATCTTGTTGAATAATAACCAAAATGAAAATAAACGAGACCGAATTACAATTTCATTCAAATATTCCCTAAACGCAATGCCAATCACGATAGCGAACAAATCCGATATAAGGAACAATCCAAGGCGGAAACCTCTCAATCAGAAAAAGAACACAATCGATCGAGCAGTAACATGTTGCAGAAAACTAGGGTTTCAAAGCAAAACTAAGAACTAAAAAAAGAAAATTGCATTAATAACGCCAAAAAGGAAACGAGAAATCACCATCAAAAAAGGCTGGAAAGGAAGATGTACACAGCGAAAGAGAGTAGGGATCTTCTCGTTTTACCTTTAAAAAATCCGGAGAGAGAAACCGTTGCAGGTTGAAGGCGAATTTGAGTCGTGATTCTGATCCATGGCTAACTAATCCTTTTCCTCAAAAATCAAGTTTTGTATTTATATGGAGTAAATTCCAGATTTTTTTTTTAATTATAGAAAAATAAATATTTTTGTAAAGAAAAAAAAATTAACTGATAAAAATGTGTTTTAATTTAAATGATTAAAAATAACAATAACGTGTATTTTGTGAAATGTTTTGGAGGGAACTGTTATTTAATTGACATAAATAAAATTGGAAATATTATATTGTTGAAAATTGTTTTTAAAAGTAAATAATTATTAACATGTATATTTTTATTATAACTATTTACCATATTCAAATTTCTCTTTCTACATTAATTTTATTGTATTTTAATTATTAAACTTTTTAATAAATTTTAAATTTATAAAAATCATATTTACACAGGTTAGTAATTTTTTAATCAAAATTAGTTAAATAATCATTTTCACAATTTTTTAAGGAAACATTGATAGGGACTAGTTTTCTTTTCTTTTTTCTTTTTAAATAATAATAATAAATAATGTAAAGAGTAAATTTACTAAAATTAGAATACAATAACCAATATGGAATCAGACACAAATTAATCAAAATAATTTTATAACATAAAAGCCACTAAATTTATATTTAATGTTTAAATTAATTTTAGGGTAAAATATTTTGTATACTTTCTGTTCCATTCCATTTATATATAAATTTTTTATAATGGAAATAAAAATATTTTAAAGTTGTTTTTTTTATGCATATATATAAATTTTTTAATGTAAATAAAATATTTTAAAGTTTTTTTTTTATGCATAATTTTTTAAAACCGGAATGTTTCTATTGTTTTTTAATTTTAAATTTTAGGATATATTCTTGTATTGTTTTTAAAAATACTATGTTAGGACGTTACAACTTTCATATATATTTATATATTGTTTTATGTTACAATCAAATAAATCGTAAATAAATAAAAGTTTTTTAAAAAAGTAACCACTCAATTTGAAGCCAGTTGTGAAAAAAATTTCGGGTTGGTCCAAAAAATTTCCCTGACTCATATACGCCCCTATGCCATTGTTCGCACGCACGGTTTCACACAAGAAATGGGATATTATTACAGTTTAATAGATAGAAATTTTGTGATTGCCCAATTGACAAAGAGTTGCCTATATTAAAGCTATGAAAAACATGTTTTTGAGCATTAGATCTAGAACAGTAGAACAGAAATGAAACCATAATAGAAAAAAATAAACAAACAGCGTTGAAAAAAAGTGGTGTCGTTTGATGTTCATCTTTTTACCTGTCTTTGTTCACCACCATGATCTGATCTGCTCCCCTTTGGTACCATCTTCTTAGACTCTGACTTGCTCAACGACTTGATTTCCCTGCTCATCTCTCTAGTCCTACTACTCTTCACAGACTTCACATCAAATTCTGATCTATCATCTTTCATTTCCTTCTCAGCCGCCGGCAGCAGCTTCACATCTGTTCTTCTTGTTCTATGTCCATCCCTCTCACTGATTTCAGAGAAGCCAGTTCGGTCTCTCGCTTCTTTCTCGACACCATTGTCGATATCCGGTTTCAGCTTACCATGATTGTCACTGGTGATTGCTGCCTGTTCTTGATCAAAGAACAGGACCTGCACAACAGTCCTCAAGGGTAATCGCTCGTTCTTAACAGCATGGGCGCGGACTTCTGATGATAACTTTTGGCAATCTAGAATTCGACAAAGGCGCTTTTTATCTGCCTTACTCAAATCAGGGTGTTCCTGCTTGCCATTAGAACATGTTTTACCAATCAATGAAGTAAGAGATGTCATAAGCTAGCTAAACTATTTGATAATATGTTACCTTGAGATACATGTTTATGGCTTTTATAAGCTAGCTAAACTATTTGATAATATGTTACCTTGAGATACATGTTTATGGCTTTGTAAAGATCGTCATGGTTTGGGCGAGCGATATCTGGCAGGGCTTCGACGAGTTGTATCACTTTAGATACGGGCATATTGATATCCATCACAACAACTCGAAGATATGAATCGACAAGCTTCCCCACCTTTCTAATATATCTCAAGAAATGGCTGTTTTCTGCAGCCCCAGAGTATTGCCTTCGCCAAAGCGCACGAAGACATTCCAACACAGCCACAACTGAGTCAACATCATAGAAGTGTGTATTGGAGGTTGACTGTGAAGGAAAGAGCAAGTCACTCACTTTTGCCTCCTCAAACTGCAGACTCGATCTCCGGATTAGTTCAGTTTTTGTCGTTGACGACACGGTGAGATAGTTTGCTATGTTAAGTAGTCTGAGAAAGAAGCCAACTGAAACCGATCCACGATCTGAAGGAATCATGCCGACTATTTTCTCGAGAATTTGTCGATTCTTTTCCAGATCCTCTTTGCTCTTTGTAATCTTCGTCTCTGAAGGCTTGACATTTGCAGTGTCAGGTAGCCAACGACAGGCATAGACGTGCAGGGCTTCTCCAATAAGTTGTGGTGGTAAAATGTATGTAGATCTAACAGCCAAAATTATGCAGCGAAACAATTCGATGTCGAGATCTGACAAATCCTCAGTCCACCAATCTTTTGGGACACTTTGACTGTTCTTTTTCGTGTAACCTGGTCTTGTATAAGTGTAGGACCATGATACCTGCAAGGAATCATCTTATGTCAGTAGCTGATTCAAAGACCGCTAACAGATATTGTCCTGTTTGGACTTTTCCTTCCGGACTTTCTCTCAAGATTTTTAAAACGTATTTACTAGAGAGAGGTTTCCACATCCCTATAAGGAATGTTTCGTTCCCCTCTCCAACCAATGTGAATCTCACAGTATTGAACACTCATTCTTGAACCATTCAATGAATAAACTAATGGTTGTACCAAATCAATAACTTCGAATTTTGGGGCTAATGATGCTTCAACATTAAGAAAGTAAGAACACTGATTAACCTTCGAGTGTGGTGTTAGGATTTTTTCGACAATTGAATCGATGCACTTTCGGACAATTCCAAGATTCTCAGACCATTCAGGTAACTTCACTGTGCTTTGTAGGGTAACAATGGAATCCTTCCAGCCAACAAGAATGCATGAGTGGAGGAAAGCCTCGAGCTTCAGAACAAGATTGCCCTTTTCCACTGCTTCAGTCATGCGGAGGAACTTAGCAGCACATAATGCGGGTACGAGATTATGGGCACTGATATTAATGGTCATGCCATAACAAAACTTAGCACAGAGTTCAAATGCTTCTGCACCTCCGGGAACATCATGAAGCTCAATAGTGGCAATGTTAGAATCTCCCAACTCAGGGCAGAGATGTTGCAAGAGGCCACACTTCGGTAGAAGCTGAAACTGTAAGCAAACCAGAAAATAAAAAATCCGGGTAAACAGAAAATCCCATCTTTTTTTGGAGTTAAAAGGTCATATCAAGAAAATAAAAGCTACATAACTGAGTGAAACGTGTCGGTATAAGAGCTTAGATATGTCATCCTCAATTATGAAACATAACAAAAAATCGACCAATGTTGAGGCAGTACCTTGTGAAGAAGGTAACTAACGTTGTCGATGCATATAACAATATTGCCGGGGACATCGGAAAGAACCGTCCTGCAGTGTAACCAATACGTATTTAGTCAAGCAACTTTGAGTGTTCGTTCTTGGAGGGTGATTCTGAAATGATACCTGGTAGCTGCTTCTGAGTAGAAGGAGTCAGGCCTCGTTCCCAATTTCATAAACTTCATTTCTACAATTGCCTTTTCTTTTCATCAGTCTCCGGTATTTAACTACAGAGCCCCTTCCATATACAAAAAGCTACAGTCAATTCTCAACCACGTTGGCTGAATGAGGTATTATAATAAAGAACAGCCAACAACAGTTTGCTATTGCAGTTATCTGTGCTCTACAGTACAAAATGCATAGAACAATGGAATACAATGATTTGAATATGATCTAAACTGTTCTAAACCAACCAGATTCATTGTCATGTACTGCAAAATAAATGCGAGAGTGAAAAATAGTGGCTGTGTGCAGCGGATATCACATTTTTCTACAGAAATCTTGGTAACATTAAGTAAAGAAGAAACTAAAAAAGAATTAGAACCAATTGGAAGAACAACGGCCAGAACAGTCCAACTTGGAAGAGGTCACAATGGAGGAAAATGACTTAATTGATGCAGGAGCATTGCATTAAGAACCAAACAACAAACATGTATCGACCCAATTATAAAAACAGAAGAAACAAGACTTCAAAACTTCAAAACTTACAAAAAGAAGAGACGATAAGAGAGGAAAAAGAAATATGGACTTTAAACAAGTGAAAAGGAGAACGGTAAGTCCAAAAAAGTGCAAAGCTACTGTTGCTCCAAAAAAGGAGAACGGAGGAAAAGAATCCAGTATCCTTGTTATAACCTATAAGACAAGAGAAAATGCCTTCCCACAATTGATTATTCGCAATCTGACTTAGCAATAAATCAAAGATTGCGTTTTCACAGACAAATTGTGTTAAACAGTGGGTTACAGAGAGATATCTCATTACTTTTCCAGAAGAAAAAGTTCTCTGAGGTTCTTCTCTCAAAGGGATATACAGTCATATATGGAATATGCGCATTGTAAGTCCATGCTTTTCTTTTCTTTTCTTTTCTTTTCTTTTCAATGTTGATTTGATAGATTCTCGACAAAGTTTTTGCTTTGTTCTGTTTTGTCCATACTCTATTGGAAACATTCTGAAAACGTCCAGACCAAGCATAGTAAGATTAAAGGTATTCTTCTGTGTAAAACAGAAGAAAAATGGAAGGTATCTCAGCTTAATTGAAGATTCAATTAAAGTACATGGGTTTTGTTTAAAACCCACTTACTTTACTTTACTAATCGACCAAATTCACAAGTCCAATTCCAGGAAGAAGAAGAGATGAGAGCTCAGAAATTAAATCTATCAAAAAGAAGAGATAAGAACATTTACCAATTCCAGAAAAAAGGAAAGCGAACAGGAAAAGCTGCAGAAGCACCAAACAAAGCCCCAAGTGATCGGACGAAACAGCTGAAAAAGCTTTTCTGATTCAGATTCAACAACACAGCGCCATATGTTATGATGCAGAAGATGAGAATGGCTCAATGGTGAAAAGGGTTTGGGAATCAGAAGCTGATTTATTCAGATTTTATGATGGAAAAAATGGGTGTTAAAAATCTACTGGTGAGGCACGCCAAGTAAAGGCAAATTGGGTATTGAGTGCATGGGGACAAGGAGAGGGACATGGGTTTGGAATCTCCTGATTAGTCAACCTAGTAATAATCTAACGCAACGCTATCATTAACCGCTTGAAGATATACAGAACGGAAATGTAATGAAAAAGTTAGAGCAAAATGGTGTTCTGATTCATGATGATTGAATCTCCAAGTAAATCATGCATAATCAAGATCAAGAACATTGATATGCACTGAAATAATTCACATATACAGAGAATAGTTCTCGTTGATCTACTACAGAAATTAAGCTCAATTTGTAACGGAATCGAATCGAGATTATAAAGTGAGACAGGGAAAAACAAAAACGAAAACAAATTGCGGAGGTGGGGTTAGGGCTTTGGGATTTAATGCTCTATAGCTAAGAGAGGGAAAAAGGGGGTTTACTGGGTCCCTGTGATTCTGGAGATTGAAAGATCGCCAATGGCAGCCTTCATCATGATTCCCCCCACTATCTCCGCTGATTCTTCTTCCATTAATCGCTGGTTGGTTCTTGTTGATCTGCATGTCGGCCACGTGTCGCCGGATTTATCACTCTGACGTTGGATTACTCTTCCTTTTGTTGGTGGTTTCGGAGGCCAATCACAGACAACTCTCTCTCTTTCTTTTCAACTTGTGTCGCCTAATTTCTCCATGCGCGCGCGGAACTGCCGCATCGCCGCCTACCCGCAGGTGACGACGGCCATTTTCACGCGGCGGCGTGAACTTCGTGCAGAACAACCCCCTTTCCATCGTCTTTCTCACAATTTCATCATTGATTTGATCGCTCAAAATCATGGAACCTTGCAGAATTCGAATTCTATTTACGTATTCCATGACCCACCGATTCTATTTTTAATTTTTCATTATTTAATTTGATTATTACAACCTAGGTGCTAGCCTAAAATTCATAGGGAAATTAGGCTTTATAGTTTTGACTCAAACCATGTCTCTCATTTTGTAATATTTTATAATTTTTATGATTTTTGCCTCTTCAAAAAATTATTAAAGCATCATCAACCTAATTGTCACAATATTCACCGACATTAATATATTTTGCAACATATAATGTTATTTTTATTATGAGATGTCCAAACATCCATGAAAATAATTTCATAACAATGTTCTATATTTTCACGGACGTGATTTTAACTTTTTTATTTTTTTTTCATCGATGTTATAATATTTTTAATTAATTAATAATTACTCGAGTTAATACTTGTATTCACAATATAAAAATAAATAAAAATATTTTTTTAATCTTTAAAATTTAAATTTAGTGTTTATTTGGTCCATAAAATAATTTTAAAAAATACTTTTAGTCGAATAATTATAAATAGTTCCTGAGTTAAGTTGATATGGCAGGTTAAAATTACGTCAAATTTTATTTTCCTCATTTACTCTTCGATCTTCATGGCTACAACAACTGCTTTTTCTTTATTGAGTTCGTCACCGCCTACCACAACTACCTTGAGTAGGTCGGCTCAGAGACTCTTTGAGTTTTGCTCTGGGTGGGTGGCTATTGCGTCGATTGGTAACGTTTATAACAAAAATTTCACATTATTGTTGATATTCTTTTTCGTTACCTAACAACGATTAATTTTATTTTATTTATTTAGAATAAATTTTTAAAATTTATGTGACCCGTTTAAAAGTTCATCCTTATAATTACTATTAATGTTTTTCTAAAAAAAAAATGGTTCCACTTGGTTTGCGTATCATAATTAATTATTTCACATTAATGATTTAGCTTTGCGTATGTTGTTTATTTTTAAATTGATTATTTAAAATATTTTTACTTTACATTTTTTAATATATTTAACTCCAACGTGATCAAATAATATAACATTAATAAATTTAATGTTTTATTTATAATTAATTATACAAAATATTTAAAAAGAACTTAAATTCACTACATATACCAACAACAAGGTATACTTCCCCGTTTTGCTGCTTTATCATAAAAATCTGTATAGATAAGCATGTTTTACGTACAACAACACTATGTTAGGTGACCTCCTATGAATTTTTTTAGAAGCACGTGAGTGAGGATAAAACATGATGGAATGACTCGTGTTGGTTTGTAGGATTAGTCTTTACTCTTAAGAAACAATGAGTAAATAACGTGACCATGTCAAAAGAGATGCAGGACAAGGTGTGAATCCCGAACATATTTATTGGGATTTTATCAATAACACGAATAAAAAATGTGAATATTAAAATAACAAAGAGATTTGGATTGGTGGGGGGCAACCACATAACATTGTCTGGCTCATTGGGGTATCACTTGGAATTGGGTGCTTTAAGCCTTTAACTTTAAGGAAGAAAAAAGGGGCCCTTCTCCAACAACTCTTAATCAAATTAATTAAAGTGTGATTATATTTGGTTTCCTTTAATTAATGCTTTATTACCAACCCGCTCCCTAATTAATTAATGCACCCTAATCATGTTTCCAAATACCAATTAGTGATGCCTTCCCTTAATTTTTATCGGCTTTTTACTCGATGTTTTGAATAAAGGTCTGAATGAGTCTCGTTTAAGTTGTTTTTATATATTTGTTGATATGAACGGATTGATGTTTGGACTAGAAGGGTCGTGATCTCAAAACTCTACAAAGATTAACGGAAATTTTAGTTATGGTTTGATTAGTTAAGGATCTGTAAGCTCCACTAAAAACCCAAAAGTTTGATTCTTCGTGTGAATATTGTTAAACTTAAAAAACGAACAAATTTTGTTTAGAGCGAGCTTTGGATCTCACAGTTGATACACCGTTTAGTATCGGGCTTTAATACCATTTGTAACAACCGCAACCTACTGCCAAATATTGTCTGTTTTTTGTCTGTTACCTATTGTCGTCAATTTCACGATTTTAAAACGTGTGTTTTAGGGAGAGATTTTCACACCTTTACAAAGAATGCTTCATTCTCCTCTCTAACCGATGTGAAATCTCACATACTCGAAGAAATATAGGCACATAGAGTCATGCCGTTGAGGATGATGATAATAATAATAATAATAAAAATAATAATGGAAGTGAATCAATCGTATTGGAGAAGATTAATCCAATGATCAAACTCGATCATCTTCGTTTTGGTAAAGTAACCATAGCTTATGAATCAAATTTAATAAACTACCATGATTGAATTATTGGAAATACTCCTCATAGGGCATACTTTTATAACTTTAGTTTATAATTTATTATCATAGTTTATTAGTTCAAAACACATTAATTTTTTAAGAAATTTTAAATTAAATTACAGCATCATAAAATATGGAGCATTTAAATTTAAAAAAAAAAGAAAAAAAAAAGGAATTTCCACTGTGTTTCGCCGCCCTCGACGGTGGTTTAGGGTAATAAGAAAATGAAAATATCTCTGCGCAACTGCACTTTCCAAATTGGACGAACCAGTCACCGGATAATTCTCCAAGAACACGACAGCCATTCGATTGCCACTCGCTGCCGTATCCGGAGACTGTTGTCCTGGAGGTATGAGCTCAGTCGAAAGAACCTCCGAACCCCAGTTGCTTTCCTCCGGCAATGCCCGGGATCTGATCGATTCCGTCGAGGCCTTTCTCTTTGATTGCGATGGTATTCTTCATTTTCTATTTCCGCTTCCTTCATCTTTAATGTTTACTCGATGGCATGTTTTTGTTTTTGATCGGTTAGGTGTTATATGGAAGGGCGAGAAGTTGGTTGATGGCGTCGTTGATACGCTTGAAATGCTTCGATCGAAGGTACACTTTTCGTTATCTTATTATGATCATTCGAACCATGGATTCTTGTTTCCGACTGGAAGTGTCGTGCATTTGTAGGGGAAGAAATTGGTTTTTGTCACCAACAATTCGTCCAAGTCAAGAAGGCAATATGCGAAGAAGTTCTATTCCCTTGGAATCTCTGTTTCAGAGGTCAGTCTCGTCGATTAGAATTTGAAAAGCTCTCTCCTATTGTCTAAACTGTTGTCTCCATGCCTTCTTTTGTAGGATGAAATATTTTCCTCCTCTTTTGCTGCTGCCATGTTCTTGAAAGTCAATAATTTCTCTCCAGAAAAGAAGGTCGTCTTTCCCTCATCGTGCTTCTTGTGTTCTTTGTTGTTTCAAATTTATATATCTTATGTATTGATTTGATTGCAATAACTACAATTCTGTTTGAAAGAAACAACAGCGTGGGTAGGATTAGAAAATTTGTTGATCATGTTTAAAGAATTCATTTCCCAGATGCATGATTGTAATCCTTCCAGATTTCTTATTTTTCTCTATACTGTTGCGTTTCATAGGCCATCTTGGTAGTTAGCTAGTTTTAGTAAGTGGGGTCTCTTTTTTCTCTGTGTAGGTTTATGTCATAGGCGAAGCAGGTATCATGGAAGAGCTTCAGCTTGCAGGATTCACTGGTCTTGGTGGTCCAGTAAGTAGATAAGACAACTCTCAATTAATGGTTTATAAATGTTCTCTTTTCTGACTCAATTTTGAGATAATTGGTGATTTAACAACCTATAAAAGGGGGTAATTTCCTTCCCAATTAATATTGATCTTCACCTGTTCGACCTTCCACAATATTAAGCCCACAAGTGACGTGAGATCCCACATGGAGGAGAACGAAACATTCTTTGTAAGGGTGTGGAAACCTCTCCCTAATAGACGCGTTTTAAAAACCTTGATGGGAAGCCCGATAAGGAAAGCCCAAAGAGGACAATATCGGCTAGCGGTGGGTTTGAACTGTTACAAATGGTATCAGAGCCAGACATCGGGCGATGTGCCAGCGAAGAGGCTGAGCCTCGAAGGGGGATCCCACATCGATTGGAGGAGGGAACGAAGTGCCAGCAAGGACACTAGGCCTCGAAGGGAGGTGAATTGTGAGATCCCACATCCATTGGGGAGGATGACAAAACACTCTTTATAAGAGTATGAAAACCTCTCCTTAGCAGACGCGTTTTAAAAACCTTGAAGGGAAGCCCAAAAGGGAAAGTCCAAAGAGGACAATATCTACTAGCTGTGAGCTTGGGCCGATACAAGTGAGGAGCATTGAAAACATTGATAGAAAATATTTGCTCACCTCGACTGATGTGGGTCTTTTCGAGTAATGTTCAATAACTTTAGCTTACACTTCTAACACTGTCTAGCAACTGGATACGGAGTATTTCCACATTTCTTGTTCGAGTAACACTCAATAACGTTAGTTTTCCTTTTTCAGGATATTGCAATTAGCTTTCAGTATTCATTAGTCCTGTTCTTTTTATTGGCATTCACAGGAGGCCAAACTTGACTGCACTCTGTTTTGAAATTTTACTGAAATCTTTGTTGGGTAGTACTTCGCATAGTAATGTAGGTGGCTTCCTTGTAACTTGACGCATACAATTTTATCAATATCTTCTCCTTTAGATAATTGACTTTGATCAAACCTTGCAAGTGCCTTTCAACTTTGGGTGCAGGAAGATGCCAAGAAAACTGCAGATCTTTATCTTGATTGCGCAATCGAGCACGACAAGAGTGTAACATAACATATTGGCCTTACCTTACTCTAGTGAGCTTTTGCTTGTATTCTCTACATATGATTGATATCTGCCATGTGATGTACCAGGTTGGAGCAGTTGTGGTTGGAATAGATCGGCATATTAATTATTACAAGCTTCAGTAAGCAAGTTCATATCCCACAAACCTTTCCCTTGTCCCATCCTCTTCTTCTTGGCTTCTACAGAATTGATCTTCTATGCCTTCGAAAACGCTAGATCATAAGCCATTCTAGTTTTAACTACTAGACTACGAACATGTTTGAAATGACTTTTGAAGTGGTTAAAAAACTTTTTAAGCGCTCGGTCCCTATATCTTGTGTTTCTTGCCTACAGAAGCCTTCAATATGCAGTCAATTACTGGCTGTTCAGTTTTATATACATTGTCAGTAACATAATCACTCGACTATGGAGTTTTATTTTCTCCACCATCAGGTACGCTACACTTTGCATTCGTGAGAACCCGGGATGCCTCTTTATTGCTACTAACCGTGATGCCGTGGGCCATTTTACTGAGTCACAAGAAACCCCTGGTACATTTTTTTCTTACTGTCTATTGATTTTCTCAATATCAATCAACTTGATTGAATGCTATTTCACATTGGTTGGCTCATTAACTTGATTAAATCTTCTGATTCAGGTGCTGGTTGCATGGTCGCTGCAGTGGGTGGATCATCTGAAAAGGAGCCCATTTTGGTCGGAAAACCATCAACATTCATGATGGACTTTTTACTGAAAAAGTAAGGGAATATAACTGCCACGCTCATTAATTTTTTTTTAAAAAAATTATTATTATTATTATTATTATTATTATTTTTAATTATGATGAATCAACACAGCCACGTTGTTGGAGATTTCAAACTCAAAACTCAAATCTCCAATTTTCTGATCACTATAGGTCATGACTCAATGGTAATGGGTTTGAAAATGTATAGGAAAAGGAAAGGTTAAATTATAAGTTTGGTCTTAGAGATTTGTATTCATTTGGTTCATGAGCTTTCAAAATTCGTTTCGTGAAAGCTCGTTTCAAATAGGTCATTGACCTATTCGTTACTTTTTACACAATTCATGGATTTACTAAACACATGTGGCCCATTATGTAACAACCTAAGTCTACCGCTAGCAAATATTGTTAAATTTAAGCTTTTCCTTTCGGGTTTTCCCTCAAGGTTTTTAAAACGCATCTGCTAGGAATATGTTTCTACACCCTTGTAAAGAATGTTTCATTCCCCTCTCCAATCGATGTGGGATCTTACAATCCACTCCTTTCGTGGACTAGCGTCTTCACTGACACTCACTGACACTCATTCTTCTCTCCAATCGACGTGGGATCTCACATATTAGACATTTTTAAAGTTCACAAATCTATTAGACTCAATATTCAAGAACCGATTAGATACTTTTGAAAGCTTCGAATCCATAAATCTTAAAGCTTAGGGAGTAAATTTATAATTTAACCCAAAAATAATAACTATATGTGATGTGTTTTGATTTTCAGATTTGAGTTTGGTTGCTCTAAGATGTGTATGGTGGGTGATAGACTGGACACAGACATCCTATTTGGCCAGAGCACAGGCTGCAAAACACTACTTGTTTTTTCAGGTTTGGACTCTAGATTTCTATACCCCTCCCCCTCACCCCTGGAACCTCACTCACGAGTACCACAATCATAACAGGAGTGACAACTCAATCCAATCTTCAAGACCCCTCCAATCATATTCAACCAGATTACTACACAGGCAAGGTGTCTGACTTGTTGGAACTATCGGGATCATGACGATGATTGTTGTTGCACCAAAACTCCTGACTTATTAGATGATCATTCATAATAAACCCATTACTTCTCTTTAACAGTTAGCTGCATGGATAGCTGAACTAGATGCATTTTGTCTTGTGCATCTAACATTATAACAATTGTAGCCATTGGAGCCCTTGATGGTGGGCCTATGGGGTTAGCCGAATCTCATTTTCAAGAATTCACATTGAATAAATTATGAAATTGTATCACTTCTTTGTTGTGTGAAATCTTACCTTGGTTAAAGAGAGAACGAACTATTCTTTATAAGGGTGTGAAAACTTTCACCTAGCAAATCCTTAAGGGGAAGTTCAGAAGGGAAAACCTAAAATGGACAAGGATTTGGACGGTTACAATTTAACTTCACTCTCATCTGTATGCTTGAAGCAAAATTTCAATGCGGGCATCTTATGGATTGATTGTACAAGATCATAACTAGGGGCAATATAAAAAATCCAACAAACCGAGCCAACCTACTCGAACCGACCAAACTGGTTAGTTGGTTGGTTTAGGGTATTGATTTGGTCGATTGGTGAGTCCAAGAAGTGCTCAAACTAAGATTGATCAAATTAAATTAAAAAAAATTAAAACAAATTGACGATGGATTAATTATTCTATTCTTTTTTAGAGGTTGGATAAATTTCTTAATTAAAATAAATAGATAATAATTCAAATAAGGGGCTAAATAAAAATTAAAACAAAATTATGTGGTTTAATAACTCATTAGGATATCGGTTTTGTTATCGTTTATTTTTTGAAAAAAAAAATTATAATTTCAATATTTGCAATGCTAAATATACAACTTTCAATTAGTTATTGAATGCTATTTAATAGATTATTGAATAATGTTCTAATTAAATAATATATTCAAGTTTAATATGAAATCAAATAATATCATTAATTTGAGAGTTGTATTAACATGATTTATTTCAATAATTATTAGTTTATTCTTGCTTATTATTATAATTTTGATTATTGAGTATAAATACAAACAATATTAGTAATTTTCAAAATTGGCGCGTTTTTCTTCCGTTCTCCACATTCATCATTTTCTGAGGAAGAAAAAACGAAGAATGAATTCCGAACCTCAGTTATTCTCCCCTGCATCGGTGATGGCAGGCATTTGTTCAAAATTTTCAAGGCGTATTTCTCTTCGATCGCGAGGGTATTTGGTATTTTTCATATCCGCTTTTGAATTCCCCTTCCTCGTTTTTTTCATCCTGAATCATTGTTTTCGTTTGAGATTTCTCGATTGCATATTCGATAGGGTAACTGTTCTCCGTAATGACGATGGGTTGATTGTGGCGTCGTGTACGCAATTGAAATGCTGTTATTCTTTGAATCGTCAATTCTCGTTTCCCGCTCTCAGCTTTCATTTTTTAGGGAATAGGTCAAAATTTGCTTCCTTACTATTCGTCAAAATGAAGAAGGGTTGCAGTTTAGATTCAGTCCATTGGAACCTCTGCAGGTGATTGGGGACAAACTATACCCATCCCAGATAAATTGTTGTCCGCAGGGCTTCCTCTTCCGGTGGCTTTGTATTTCTGGATTAAGATTCGTCTTCTCCTCGTTATGCTGGATACCGAGTTACTAGCGATCAATTTATTTCTCAGAAAAAGGTTCGTTTTCCCCCCATCATGCTTATTATATGATTTCTATCACCCTCAATGAATCCGACTAGATGGCCAATTTGAAAGATGTAATGTGCCGGAGAACATATTGTATCAAATTCGTCTTCAACCAGATCAACGATCTTTAAAATCTGATTGACTGGAGGACGAATTTCAAAGTTAGTGCTGGGAGAACATTTGTATCAAATTTGTGTTCCAGCAGATCTTTGATTAGTGTAATTATAATGGCATTCAAGAGAAAAAGGAAAAAGTCACTATGACGTGCTTACCAAGGTCAGTTGCGCCTTGCACACGTCAAACCTTTGAAGCCTTCAAGGCGAGGAAGGAATCATAGGGCTCTTGGTGATCCAGTAAGTTGATAACTGTCAAGACTAACAGCTCAATTTCCTCTGATAACTTCTAGGTATGATACAACTATACAGATTTTCTTTTGTGTTCATCATTTTTACTAATTTCGCATCAAAAAGATTTTGGGTCTCCTTGGCTTTTGATGAGCGACTATACATGTCCTCAATTTTTAACCCTTCCAATTTTCAAGCGCTGCAGTCGCTGGATTTCGTGGGTTTTGGCGATCCGGATTCTCCTCAAATACAGTTCCAAGGTACGGTACAATTATACAATCTCCATTGATGTTTTCTGTTTTTTTTTGTTTTGCATTCACCCTTCATTCTTGCCACTTTTGGATGAAAACAATTTCGTGTCTCCCTTGGTTTTGGCGAATTTTTATTATGATTAAGCAAATGAATAATTTTGTCTTAGATAGAAGCTAAATAATTAGATCACTTGCACTACACTTGTCAAATGCCTATCCTACTCCTAGTATGCTCAGAATGAGGGCTCTGCAATGAAATATAGGCTGCCACCGCCAAGAATATCCATTCAAATGAAATTCTCACAGATACAAGTCTCTGTCTGTGTCTTCCTAGGAAATCCATTCCATAAGGCTAACACCTGAACAACCATCTTCTCCCATTTCTCGCATCATCTTTCTGACTTTTGCTACATCATTCCACCTCCCTGATGCTGCATAAAGATTTGACATCAACACAAAAAATCCCCCATTTCTACAGTTAGAGAAAAGCAACTTTTTCGCCACAGATTCCCCAAGCTTAACTTCCTGGTGAATGCAACAAGCACTGAGAAATGCTCCCCACACTGCAGAATCTGGATTGACTTCCATGTTTTTGATAAATAGAATTGCCTCTTCAAACAAGCCTGCCCGTCCAAGCAGGCCAACCATGGATGCACAATGTTGTGACTCTGGCACTATACCAAGTTCTTTCTTCATGATTTCGAAGTATGTTCTACCTTCTTCAACAAGTCCTCCATGAGTGCAAGCAGCTAAAATTCCTGAGAAAGTTATTTTATTGGGCTTTATCCCCTTCTCCATCATTTTAGTGTAACAGAGGAAAACATGATTGTCAAACCCAAATAAACCATAACCAGAGATCATTGAGTTCCATGAAGCTAAACATGGCTCTTTCATGCTCTTAAACACCTTTTCAGCAAAGTCCATTCTTCCACACTTGACGTACATGTCTATAAGAGCAGTTCCAACAAAACCTTCCAAGTCCAGATTGTTTCTTAGAATATAGGAATGAAGTATCTCCCCAAAATGCAAGTTCCCATTTTGGCAACAAGCAGATAGTAAACTAGCAAGTGTAATTGAATCTGGCCCATAGCCTGACAACTTCATTTGGGAAAACAAAGCCATGGCATCAATTGACCTTCCTGCCTGTGCACAGCTAGATATCACAGAATTCCAGCTGCTCAGTGTCTTTTCATGCATCTCTTGAAATAAAGAAAATACTGCATCAATATCATCGAACCTTGAGTACATGCTTATGAAACCATTTGCAACCAAACAATCAATAATTAACCCACTCTTTAGCCCATAACCGTGGAAAGATAGTCCAATACCAGAGTGATCGGGATATGTAATACCTTGGATTATACCAACCATGGCAACTGCATCTAGTTTCATTTCTAAATGCTGCACACGGGAATACAGCTTCACCACAGCTCCCATGTCACCTTTCTCAGCATACCCTGAAATAATCGCAGTTAATGCAACCAAGTTTTTCTGGAGTTTTGACATATAAATCTGTTCTGCTATATGTATGCATCCACATTTTACGTACGAGCAAATTAGAGAGGTAACCACGGAAACATTTTCCATAAGACCAGTTTTGGTAGCATAACAATGGATAGATCTTGGATTTGCATTTGCAGACAAGATACTGACCATCGTCACCGAGCTAGTATTGATACTTTCCTCGAGCATTTGCTTGAAAACAAGCATTGCCTCCACAAAGAACCCATTTTGGCCAAATGCCCCAATCATAGTATTCCAAGAAACTACGTTTTTTTCAATAATTTCTCCAAATAAGAGTTCCACCCCTTCTAAATCTGCACATTTACCATACATCGATGCAAGAGAATTTTTCACTTGGGAGTCCAAATCAAGGCCAGCCTTAACACCTAAAGCATGGATGCATTTTCCTTGGACGAATAAGTGTTGGGTACCACAGGAAGGAATTAAACTTACCAACGTTCTCTGACAAGGATTGAACCCCCTCCTGCGCATTTCGACAAACAGTTCGAAGGTATCATGGTTAAATCCACTTCGTGAGTACCCAGATATCAACGCATTCCACGATACAACATCTTTTTCAGGAATATCATCAAACAAACGTCGAGCAGCTTTAACAAAACCCAATTTTGAATACAAGTCGAGAAAGGCAGTACTAACATACAAAAATTGGTCAAATCCCCATTTAATGAAATGGGTTTGGAGCTGATTCGCCTCCGCTTCTGCATTCTCAGAACAGGATGATGGTGCAAAAGAAGAAGATGAAGACGATACAACGAAGGCTTTAATGAGTAAGGAGAAGGTAGAATCATTGGGCTTAACCCGACACCTTAGCAGCTGACGGAAAACCAACAAGGGGGGCGTAGAAATTTTGCCTTCGACGTAAGATTTGAATGCAGAATGGAAGGTCGAGAGCGAGAGACTTGCTAGGTGACCCACCGAAGATGTAAATTGCATAGTACTGGGCGCCCGATTTTGCGGTTCCGCACCTATGGGATGTGCATGGATTCGTTGGCAGTGATACTTGGTACATCGATTTCAAATTAGATACAAATGTTCAAGGATTTTGTGTTACTAGAGGGTTTTACTTTAAAGATTGTTTAAATTAATTTACGGTTTGATATGGTAGAAACTAAGCTTGATGAAAATCCTTATTGAAATGAGCAAATTCGACCAAGGATATGTAAATATACTGTGATTTTGTGATTCAGATTTGAGTTCAGTTGGTGGGCGATTATAGATTGGACATGGCCATTTTGTTCGGACAGCTTTGCAGGCTCTGAGAATTACTCTCCCTTTGCAGGCTCTTTCTTCAGGTTCCTTATTCTGATCTCTAATTTTTGTCGATAAATTACTCTTTATGCTTCATTATCCAAATCAGAAGCATTTATAGATGAATGTTTTTGAATCTCTCCATTGTTAGTTAAAATATCTATTAAAGAAAGAAAAAACCCTACCCCTTATTTACAAATTTAAATAATTATTTAAG